CACACACCCGCTAACCCTAACTCTGAAGGCTGGAGGCAGGAGGATCTCAATTTTAGAGTTATCCACGGTCCTAAAACTCATGGTTCATCAGATTCTGGCAGAAAACAGGGAGGCAACCAGGGGAACTCGCTAATGAGCCTTTGGCCTGAGGGAAGCTGAGGTCACCACCTACTCCTCAGAGAACAAACCTGAGCCGTCAGGAGGGGGTCGGGAGGGGTGTGGGCACTGACTTCTCGTGAGCAGAGAGTACTGAGAAAGGACAGCAGTTTTTCTGCCACTCTTCAGGCCAAGTGGAGGGCCCAGTTCTTAGGCGAAAGCAGAGGCCCTGAGAAGAATGTGAAGCCTTAAGCAGGCTCAAAAGTGGCAGGGAGTTCTCTAAGCAGCGGGGCAGGCATTTGGCCACACTGTTGCTACAGGTGCCATCTGGACAGCAAGGTGCAGTTACCTTCAAGGTGGCCTCGAGCTAGACAAGGAAGAGATTGATAGTCCCCTAAATAGCTTAAATCTGTGGTGTTATGTCTCGCCCTGCTACCATGGCTGCCCTGGGGTCCAGCGATGAGTGACTGCCTCATAGGAGAACGGACAGCATGACCAGGTCACCCTTGCTGCCTGGCTGCAGAGGGCTTTCCTGGGCTATAGGCATTTGCTAAGGGACCTCGGTTATGGAAACTATCTTTCTTATGAGATCAACAGAGGGGCCCCGCTCATCTGGAATGACTCAGCACAGGCTCTCAGGCTATTATTAGATTGGAATGACATGTAAGAAACCTTAGGCACTAGGGACAATTTCCAGTCCTCTGAGAGAAAGCCCCGTGGAAGGCAAGTCTAAAACTTTTCTCTTTTTAAAGACAGAGCTAAGGTTAGCCTCAAACTTGCTATGCAGACCAGAGTGACCATAAACTCAGAGATCCACCTGCCTCTTCCTCCCCCATGCTGGGATTAAAGGTGCGCATCACCACACTGGGTAGTGTTTAATTTTTAATTATTAAACTCAAGTATGTGGTCTCACATCTGTCACACTAAGTTTCTTTGCTGACAAAGATGGGCTCGGGGAGCTGTAGCTAGCAATGAACATGGCTGGCCAGGCTGGGGACACAGGAAGCCACCCTTATCAGGACCCTTAAGAAAAGCCGGGACTGAATTTGACTGCTTTCCCTTTTTACCTGAGATGTCTACCTTCCCCTGTGGGGCTGTCCCACAAATACACCGGAGACACAGACGGGAACTGCCAGGGTATAGCTTCCTCTGCCCCTTTCTTACCCTGGGGCTCGGACTGTGAGGGGAAGTCAGATCGTATCAGGGCTGCCTCAGCAGCCAGCACAGTGGGCATATCCCTGGGTGATGGACAGAGCTTTCAAGTCTAGCTTCAGGTCTGCTGGAGAGATGACTGTGTGAGGAAGATTTCCAGCCCCTGCAGCGAGGCAACAGCAGGTGGCGGGCCCGGGCCCAGGCTAGGAGCATTACCAGGCCAGGCTGCTCTGGCAGCCATCAGCACTTGGGTTTCCAGTTCCTCTGAAGTATTTCAAATCTATAAACCTCATGAATAAAGAGGAGGCATACTTCAAGAACAGACCAAATACTCTGACTCTGAGGCCTCTCCTAATGACCCCCTAAGCACAGCCTATGTCGACAGTGTACAGCAATTCTCAGGGGTGGACAAGGAGTCCCCTGTGCCATTCAGGTACTCCACCTCCCTGCCTGGCTTCCTACCCGCCTCCTGTGGTTTCCTCTGGGAAGACCCCTGAACGGGCAGGCGGTAATGATCTGTTTGTTTTGGTTTGCTCTGTGAGAGGAATTCACTTGTCTGCTTATCTTGTCAAGATCTTCCAGTCCCTGAACCTGCTTGGATCTCTAAGGCTGGGCAAAGAGCGGAGGCGTGGAAACACGAAGCAACCGTGATGACAGCTGCCCTGCCTTCTGCCCATTCCCTGCCCACTGAGCAAGGCTCCCAGACAGCCAGCGCGGCTCTGTGACTCACCGAGCTCACCAGCAGCCTTGATGTCCACGTTATCATAACCACTGCCAATTCGCACGATCACTCGCAGAGCCTTGAACTTCTCTAGGTCTTCCCTGGTGAGGGTGATAGTGTGGTACATCATGGCACCCACGGCCTCATTCAATACCTGTGGGCAGGGACAGGAGTCACGGGTCAGAGCCCCTGGGCACCCACAGAGCTTTTGTGAGCAGAATTATAAGATGGAGACACGGTGGAGTAAGTGCCCGAGGGTGGCACAGTGGGCTAGGGGCATCAGGAGTTCCAAACATGGCATTCCTGTGTATGGACATCATTCCTGCGTTTAATGACATCAGTTGGCCTGGAGCGACCCAGGTGGGGTGGGGTGTCGTGTCACCCACCTTCTCATGGATTTCCTGAGTGGACTGTGCATCGCAGAAGGCCACAGTGGCCAGGTCCTTCAGGATAGGCATTTCCACAGTACAGTCTCTGCCATCTAGCAGTGCCACGAGGGGGCGGGGATGCAGGGGGCCGTTCATGATCTGGGGGCGGATACCTATAAGGAGAGAGAAAAAGCGTGGTGAGTCCAGTGTGGGGAGGGCGTGAGGGGACACCCTAACCATCTCAGTGGTCAACGTCAAGGCAAGCAGAGGGCACACAAGCCTGGTGGAACCAACTGTGATGTCCAAGGCAGGACATGACATAGCAGCACCAGCTAAGGGCATAGGGTGTAGGGGTGGTGATGGCGTTCATAGATCACAAGTTTAATGACAGGTGACGTGCAAGGCTCTGATGTGAACTCACTTCACTCTAAGACCCAGAGGAGCAAATGATGTGGCTCACTTGAATTGCTCCATTAAGCCAAACTCTGGGCCAGTGAGATGGCTCAATAGGTAAGAACAAATCTCCAAACGGAATACAGCTTAGGTGCACTGGTCACTTCCCCACGAGGCCATTATGGAAATGGCCTAGGGATGGTTCTAGTCCCAAGTGCATATGATTCTCTGCTGGAGTCTGCTGGTCCTGCAGGATGCATCCCAGCTCAGGCACTGTTCCTCTCAACTGTCTATACAGCGGACAGGGCAGGTTCTGACTCCTAGCTGCCATGTGGTATGCCACCTTTTTGGGGTGACTTCTGCTGTGACCCTAGCAGCGGTGGGTTCCTATGACTCAGGGTAGGGGCGTGAGAATTAAAAATGTTAGGTAGGCGGAACAGAGATAAGAAAGTCACAGAGACACAGGATAGTATCGGGAGGGTCAGTCAGCGAATACTGAATTTTTCTTTTGACTTCTGAGTTCCCCATGTTTAATTTTCCATACACTTTTTATACCCCAGTACAGAAGGGGAGAGAAGGCAAAAGACTGCTTTAACATGATACAAAGGACAACTAGAACAGTTACTTGCTTCAATAGTTTGGAGACATCAAGCCAAAGGCCATACACCATGCTGAGGGATGTCTCTGGCCAGGGCTGTTGCCTCTCCGTCTTCGTGCGGAGGCTCGGGCAGTCCAGACCATTATTTCAAGCTGGACTATCATCTCCTTCCTCCTAGTCAGTCACCCTCTCTCACACAGGCTGCCCAAGGTATGGTAGGTTACGGCAGCTCCTGCCAGGGGAACTCTCTCAGATGTTATAGGAACATGGACTGCTGGAGCCACACGGCCTTTATGTGATTATTAATGTACCTAAAGCGGGAGCCTTTTGCACAAGCATGCTCACTTTCAGGCTCCACCTCTTTCCTGTTGAGCGTTACCTTGACTGATGATTGGTGTGGGAGGAGGGCCCAGCTCACTAGAGGCTGGACCGCCCCTGGGCTGGTGGTCCTGGATGCTATGAAGAAGGCAGGCTCAGTTCATGGGAGCAAGCCAGCGATCGGCATTCTTCTACGGCTTTTGCTTGAGTTCCTGCCCTGGTTTCCCTCAGCAATGGACTGTGATCTCAGAGTTCAGACTGAAAATAAACCCTTTCCCCCCCAAGTTGTTTATAGCTATGTTTCACCACAGCAACTGAACCCCAAGACAAGCCTCCCAACCAAAGCTCTGCTGTCTTTGAACTGCTTGGTAGGGGCCTGAGAAATCCTCTTGCATCACACGGGCTCGTGGAGCTAGTCACACACTGTAATGAGCAGCTGAGGAAGGACATGCTTTCATGATAGCTGTGTCCATCCCCCCCACCCCGCACCGCCACTGCACGTGGTGATACCCGCACACTATACTTGCACAGTCAGGACAGACAGTGAGCCCAGGGCAGAGAGAATGTTTTTGTACTAATCTTACGAGAACAAGCCACACTGACATGAATCATGGATCATCTTCTCAGATGGAAGGGTGGCCAGATTATGATGCATTCCTGGCATGCACCTGCTACTTGCCTGAGACATCGCTACTTTGCCATTCCCACTGGCAATGGCAAGGTAGCGAACAGGGTACACTTCAAGTCTTCACTGGCCCGTGGGTTGGTTCTACGAGAAACCCACTGGCCTCAATATTCCCCCGACCCTTAGAAGGAAGGGCCAGGTGAGATCCCCAGAGATGGCCACTGTCCCCAGGTCACAGAAGGGGAAGTGAGGTGGCAGTTGTTCATATATTCATTCTGTCAATCAGTTCCAGAGCACCAGCTGCTAACCAGATGCATACTCGAGCCGAGGTATAGCAGATCCTGATACAAGCCTGCCTTCTTTTTACGAAGAAAAGGGGTAAAATGGCCAAATTCCAAAAACATGGGTTGAGGGTCTGGCAGTTTCAGATCACACAGGTCAGAACTCCTTCCCCAGTCCTCCCAAGAAGCTTGGCTTTGGAAGGTGCTAGTAGGGTGGTTAAATTGTACCAAGCCAGAAGTTCGGGTTTTAAGTAAGTAGTGATTTACCCCCACCTTGCCAAGGAACACGGTGTCAGGAACAAGCCAGAGATCTAGAGCCATCCAGTACATCTGGAGTGGCTGAGAGCCACCATGTAAGATGTCCATCCAGAGTACTAGAGCATGTTATCGGTTACCCGGGTAACAGACTCCAGGTTGCCTAGTGATCGGTTCCCTCCTGATTGGCTTTCTTTTTCTTTGGTGAATCCCATCCTTTGTTCTTTTCCTTGGCTGAGGAGGGTCCACAGTACCCTCAGGAAACCTTAGTCAAGGCCTGAGGTATGAATCCCGGGGGAGAAGCCTCTGATAGCAAGGCAAAGGGGGAAGTGGTGGGGGCAACAGAGACCTGTTGGCTAGGGAAGGATGCTGAGTGGGGTGGCAGGGTAGGCAGCAGTGACAGCATGGAACCTGGCCCAGAGTGGCTGAGGATCTACAGGAACCACCTGGTTCTGGGTACGAGGAGGAGGGCTATGAATCTGTCCACTGCCTATCAGGGACCACAAAAATCAGAGCTAGAGCCCCAATGGTCTCAATACACAGTCAGCTCCCAGCAGGCCTCTCTCCCGCCTCTTTCAGCAGTTCGGACAAACGGCACCCTTTTTAGGGCGCATCTCAGTGTAAAGCATTTACATTAATATCACACACAAAAGACCCTCATAGGAGGGGACCAGTCTTCAGGTTGGCCCCTGGCCTGGAATCACGGCTCACCTCTTTAGTAGCTAGGGGAATTTGGGAAGGAAGCCCAAGTAACAGTATCCAATGAGGATTCCTTCCAAAATGGAGTTTAGGATCCCAGTTACCCAACACTGCTCATGGCTTTCCACATAGCCAAACCCTAAGACTGACAAGGGCCTGGCGATGCCGCCATCATTCCCAGCCTCCCACTCACTGGGGAAAACACCTGATAAAAAGGTGTCCAGTAACTATGCAAAATAATTATGTGTCCCTCTGACCCCCATCCACAGACTCGCAACAACTAGAATTATTATGGGAATGGAGGCAGTGCCTGCTCTTATATGGCCACTTTCCTGTGGAACCTAACCCTCCTGGCCCAGCATAGTTTCTTCATTTCTACAAAGTCAGGTGAGAAACCAGAACTAAGATGTGACGCGTGTAAGTGTGTATACCAGAGGCTTGGGTTTTACAATGCAAAACCAAAATTCAGGCCCAGGTCAGGGTGGGTGGGGGTCAAGGGTCAAACAAGCTCCAACACGTGGCTCAGCCTGAAGGCACCCGACATATGACTGAGCAGAGAGGAAGATGCCTCTCTTGTCCTGCCAACACATTTAAGCACCTTGAGAAGCCGTCTCCAACCTGCCAGTGTAGGGAGACACACAGCAGCAAGAGGTACTGGGAGCAGTAGAGCCTGCAGCATCTGGAGCAGACACAGCACCCCGCTCCCTGCTGGGACGCCTGGGAGAAACCGTTCAGATGGGATGTCTTGCTAAGAGTCACTACTTTACGTCATACCATCTGAAAGGTCAGAGAAGACCACTGTGACTAGGAAGCTCAGCTGTTGTCGGCACAGCTCTGAGCTCACAGGCCTTGTGGATTCAAGGCACCAGGGCGCAGGGCACCACAAGTCCTGCTGGGCTCTCCCTGCCAGGCGCTAGTGACCTTGACTCCTCTTGTAATGAGGAAGGAGCATGGTGGTCAATGTTTACCCACCAGGTAAATAAGGTGAGTCTGGAATGAAGCAGGGCTGTGTGGGGACAGTCCCAGGAGGACACAAGGACCACCACATGCATAAGGCACTAGAAGAGCTGCACAGTGGGGCGGTGGCCTGCTTAGAAGATCCCATAATCCCCTCAAATCTGAGGACTAAGCTGTGCTGGATTCTGAGACAGGCGTACTGTAAAATGCCTAGGATGAAGACTCACTGGTTGAGAGGTCACCAGTACTTCTAGAATAATGCTGGGGAACAAACACTAACAAATGCACCCTGGAAGGGCAAGGACAAGGCCCCATGAACTGGCAGAGATGGTTGATAAAGAACTGGCCCACTGCTACCGTCTAAGCCCCGAGGAGCTAGCTTGTCATGAGGCTTTCCCAGGAGAAGCTGAGGCCTTCTTAACTCAGGAGCTACAGCGCTCTCTGGGTGAAACTCTAGGAGGGCCACAAGAATGTCCCACTAAGCAGGTTGGTTTGCTTAACGCATCTTGTATCTTAGTGGGTTCCGGCTCAAGTGAAAAGTCTAGGCCCTCACGATCAGTCACCAGGTTGCTGCTCCAAATGCCTGGGTGGGCCCTGCAGGCTTCCTGTGACTGCAGCTAACCCAGCTTGTGTTTGGGTGTGACACCTTGCAGACTGCAAGTAGAGTCCCCTACTCGGGTGGGAACATGGTTGTTTCCAGTTTGGCAACAGGCGAACAAAGTCAGACTACCCGGCCTCCACAAAGAGACCAGCATCTACTGTGACTTCAACTGGCTTCGCTCAGAACCCCGGGACAGACATCTCTGCAGCTTGTCCAGAGTGCTTGAACACGGAAAACGACATGTACTTTCTCTTTCCACGACAGCCTCGCCTGCACGGATCTGGGACTGGGGCTCTGTCACCCGCCAGTCTCCAAGCAGCTGTGGAAGCTCCAAAATGAAATGTCTCCTAATGAACTCCTTGTCGCGAGAAGTCAGCCAGTACAGAGCACATCTCTGCCAACCACAGACTCAAAGTGGGTCCCTGAAGAACATTACCAGAAACTGACCAGGAAGGTATGTCAAAATGCACAGCCAAGGAAGGGCACAGGTGCCTCTGGTGTTTTTGCTAAGATGGGCTCCACGTCCTATTTCCCTGGTGGCCTGCCTCACCGGGGTGGTCCCTGGGCACCAAGGACATAAGATGGACATTGGGCGTATGGACCTAGTTATCTCTAATGGGTTAGATGTTTAGTCATGGACTTTCCCACTTCCCACACAGGTCCCTGGAGATGCCTCATCTGTGCTCGGGAAGGAGCATTTGACTATGAGCCTACTTCAATAAGTGGGCTTCTCCTGCAACCGTGTTCTGAGATCCCGTCACAGTCCCTCACATCTGAACCTGTGCTGCCTCAGCCTCTTAGACAGGTGGCCATGACACCCAGCTCGCAGCTGCAGAATAAACTCCAGGACTTGGCCAGAGATGGATCTTCAAATCTTAAATGCACAAACCTCAAGTTGGAAGGGGGTGCTTCCTGGTAACTAGCTCCCAGACCTGGGTAACTTCCTGCCCAAGGCTGGGCACTAAATCAACGCGGGTCCTGCTGACTCACTTTGCCTGCTCAGCTGTTGTGACCCCTGTGAGGTCAGCCCCCATTCATAGGCACTACAACAGTGACCTGAACACCAGGCTGGGCCAGGGATGAATCCAAGAAGACACATCAAGCCTTCTAGACAGAATACCAAAGCACCTCGCTTTATTGCTACCTTGGCGGGGAAGGTTGGTCTTCAGAGTCTGCGCTCACTGAGCAGACCCGCCCATCAATCAAAGACTCCCTTGTCAAGAACTACACAGGGCCAAGGATCTCACCAGGCAGGGTTGGTGCCTCCCTCCACGGGAGGTCTTAAGCTTGGAGGCCGAAGAAAAAAACTTATCATGATAGTGGCTGTCACCCAATGTCATTCTGTAGCACCAAGGAAGAGAAAAACTTCAAACTCCCTTTGATTTGACAAGGTGTCTGAGACCTATGCCTGGGGCTTGGCAGCTGGTCCCCGGAGTACTCAGCACCATAGCCTGGGGGAGAGAAGCTGTGGCTGGTGTGGGCGTGTGCTTCCCTGCCGTTTCTCCACAAGCTTTACTGGGGATACCTGGTCACTCTTCACGGTGGCCTGTGAGGCAACACGTGCCAATGGACATATCAGATAAGACATACCCTGGCCTGGATGTAAAAACAGGACTCCACAAAGCCACGTGAGTGTGACTTTCTCTGCAGGAACAGCCTTGAGGTGGCCTGCGGCTGGTGTCTCAGATGCCCTGAGCTTTGCATGCACAACCCATGGGCCAGACTCGGTGTGACGAAACCATGAGAGAGCGAGGGACTCTTGGGCTTCTGCCAAGGCACTGACTCAGAGGAATACCCTCCCAGAAAGCCTCAGGCAGAGAGAGAACCACACTTCAGCTATAATGAGCGAGGTCAGGAGGGCCAGGGAGCACACTGGCCCCACTTTGGGGCCTCCCATAGCCACCCACCAGCAGCCTAGGTAGGGTGACCCTTCCACATAGTAACTGGTCAAAGAACATGAGGAAGGAGGGCGACAGAGGCTAGAACCCAAAGTGAGTTCCTGTCAATCAAAGCTCCCAGAATATTTTTGCTAGTAATTCCCTGTGGCACGTGGGGTTTGTTTTACAGCACATCTGTTTCTTCCACTTTCAATCATGCCACGGGAGAAAGACGTGCTCCACTTCCTGCCAACGCACTAAGTCTTCTAGAGAAAGAGCAGCCTGGGACTTGTGTCCCGAGACACCTCTCTCCCCTTTCCTGTCATGAGACCGACCAGATTTTGTTGAATGGAACCATGCACAAGCCAGCCAAGTAAGAAACCACTCTTGCAAGCGAGCTAGCGAGCTAGCGGGACAGAGAGAACCACACACCTCTGCAGAGGTCAGGGGAGCATTGACACGGGAGACTAGCGCTGCTGAGGACAGTGGGAAGAACCACCAAAGACCATCCCCTGAGTACAGCCTATGCCCTGTGTTGCCCCGGAGCCAGGACGCCTGGGTGGATCACAGGCACATCCTTCCTGGCCTTAAAAAAAAATGCAAAGACACAAAATTCCAGTCTCCCAAGTCACCCATGCAGCTAGAACCTGGTGGCTTTGCTCTGGCCTCCAGTTACTGCCTTGCAGCCCTGGCTGCTTATAAGAAGGTGCATCCTGACAGGATGGGAGTAGTTCTCAGATGCTAAAACTGTGCCCATGGCAACAGAGAGAACGCCGAATGGGAACAGAAAAGAAACCTGTCTGAGGAATCTGGAAGTGGACAGGACACACACGGGAACATAGATAGAGCCCACAGGTAGTCTGTGAACATCAGAGGCCTATCTATCCTATCTTACCCCGATGTCAAGGTCACCCAAGACAGTTTTCACTATTTGGTCCTAACTGATCTGAATTATATATAGCCCAGGCTAGGCCAGAACTTGTGGCCTTCATGCTCAGACTCTCCTAATGAAGGCTGAGAGTGCCTACTGCATTCAAGTTACCTGTGGTCCCCCCTACTCAACACAGGAGCTTCGATCCAAGCTAGGGGATAAAGGGGGAGGGGAAGCCTTGGCCAGACTGAGGAATCCATGAGGATATCCAGTTTCTTTTGGCCCCTGCAGGGCCTTTTGTGCAAAAGCCAGCAGGCAGCGCAACTGGGATAGCAGAGGCTTGAGTTCCCCATGTGTGAACATCACAAGGGCACAGTGAGCGCCACAGCTGACTCATGCCCAAGGACTGTGTCCACTGAAACCAAGCAACCTCATCCCCAGGAATGAAATACATGTTACCTTGTCCCTCCAAAGGGGGCTGGTGCCTGGCAGACCTGGCTCAGCACTCTCTCCACATCACCAAGGCCAAACGCCCATGAGCACAGATATCACTGACATTTTGAAGCTAGGGCAGCCCCTGAGGGCCAGCAGAAGAGAGAGAGGGCCCTGTCTGCTCAACTTTCTTCATTCTGCATGAGTTTTTAAGGCCCACAAAGAAGGTGACTCTTGAGAACCATTCGGGAGGCTTGTCATCTGTGAGGCCGGCAGGCAGACTTCCCGGAGTGCCGCAGCCCCTCCTTTCCAAAGCCACTTTTTCTGTGTTCCAGGTTCAAATCCCCACATACAGAGAAACACTAGAACACACCAAGTCACATTTCTCCCGCTCTGTATTAAAGACATCTGACAGAAAGAGGCCAGCTTTGGAAAGTATAGATACAGGAAAATGGACCACAGAACTCAGCATTCAATTCTCCAGACAAGAGTTCCTATTGTCCATTCCAGCCTGGGCATGGGAGAACTACACAGGGACAGCCACTCTCCAGGGCCCAAAGCTATATAGGCGAGTCAAGCAGCATCAAACGGAATGAGGCTTTGATGAGCTTGAATGAAAATGACAAGGTAAAAAAAGGTAATAAAAATACAGGCAGCTGCTCTAACACAGGGAAGGCAAAAGATGCAACAGGGCAGGGTTACAACAAAGTACAACCTTTACCCTAAAGAAAGCAATCCCTTAGCTCGGCAGTCAAGGGGACACAGTCATTTAGAAGAAGCTCCCCAGCAATAAAAGCTCCTGGTCCAGTTCTGAGTGCAATGTTAGGAAGCTCCCAGCATCTTCTGTTTCTCCTTGTGTGCAGGCTCACCAGGAATGTTCTCTGTGTTCTGAACTGCCTGTTCCTCAGCTTCACAGGTTTTTTTCCTCTTTGGTCTATTTAACCTTGTCCTTGGTATAGCTGCTGATAGCTTGGCCCTTGGTCCTCTAGGGACCAAAGAATAGCTTGCATTTCATTTAACCAAAGGAGAATGCTCTGAGCTGTAAGGATGAAATTCCTCAGCTCATATAGAGTAAAGAGTTTGGTCATGTGGTCAGAGCAGCTTGGGGGCGGGGGGGCAGGCGCGCAAGTGTAACCCTGATTCAGGCACCAGACAAGGACTGGCCAAACACCCAACAAGGGTCTATGGAGTCACACATAGGTCCTCCTTGTGCTTGCTCTACCTGAGAGAGGTGAGTGGGTCCAACCTGGAACTTTGGAACTTCAAGGAGGCCATGTTCAGCATCCTTACAACCAAAGAGCCATCCTCAGCATGCAGGAAGAGCTTCAAAGAAGTAGACATTTGATTGAGGGAATCACGGGAGCCCTGTGGGAGCGGTCCCCAACAGGATTTCGATTTCTATCAGGATCATATGTTCCTGTGGCATTAGAATCCAGGCAATGGCACACCACCACCGGATAAATAGCCATAGATTTTTTTTTTCCAACTGACTTTAAGAATCTTTAGTAACAGCCCTGGCAACGAGACACTAGAATGGAGCCTTCAGAGGCTTCTTCAGTGCACCCACATTAAGAAAAATAAGCAGGGAATCTGGGAGGTGGGTGTGTGTATGTGAGACTACGTTTCTCACATGGGAAAGAAACTGAACCCAGGGCCTAGCCTCGAGCTGCGCTTTGCTGGACTCAGGGAAGACGGGACAAAAAACGCTCGCCGTCACGCCAGTGTCTGCCTGATGCTCCTTGGCATCTGGCAGAGAGAGGCTCAGCCTCCTGGCCACGGGTGACAACATGTGACAGCCACTGGGTCAGTCGCCATGTCAGTGTGGGATGGAGAGCTGAAGCCCTAATCCTGTGCATCTGGCTGCCTTGCCTTGCTGTTCTGAACTGCTTGGTTGATGGGGTGGGGGCAGGCCTGGCAAACAGAAGCCGATTGTGTACACACATCCAACAAAGCAAACACTAGTATCCACACTGTGTCTAAAGAGCCAAATGAGACCCCTAAAAAAATCCCTCAAACAATGCTCCTGACATCACCTCACCATCATGGCAGGAAGAACTGGGGTAGGGGTGGGGATTAACTACTTCCCTGGCATTCCAGGGATTTCACACTGGTGAAATCAAAATGAAGAATCAGTGAGGTTGACCCTGCTACTAATGGGCAACATACACGACTCTACCTCAAGATCGGAGGTTGCCGTCTGGGCCCAGAGGCGGGGCAGCCTCCCAGCAATGTGCCTTGGGTCTCCGACGCTTTTCCCTTGGTCTAAGGCTGTCCTCTCTGGGACTCGGCACCTCGGCCTGAAGCCATGCCTACAGACACACTATGAAGTCTCCCGCTGCCTTCGGCATACCCAGATCTGGCTGCAGACTCCATGAAACAAACCTGTCACCCAAATGCCATTCACAGAGCGGAAAAGCAGCCAGGAGACCGAGGCCCTGCCCCCCCCAGCCCCGACAGGGTAGTCATAATGCCACACAGAATGTACGGTAAGGAACAAGGATGACAACTGCTGCTCTGGGATAGATCATTTGACAGAGAAATTTATTTGCTGGCAGACTTCCGACTGCAGGCTTGCTCGGCACTGGCTCGCTGCCATGCAAACGAAATAAAAATCAATATCCTTGGGTCTGTAAAACAGTGTGTCAACAATCACACTCCAAACAACTTATATAACGTCCC